TCTGCCTTCCCTGAATTCTCATCGGCTCTTGTTAGGTTGTTGTTAGGGGTCGTGGAGTTTTTTCTGACTCATAGCAACCCAATGTACAACAGAACGAAACACTGCCTGGTCCTGTGTCATCCTCACAATCAATTGGTATGCTTGTACTCGTTGTTGCAGCCATTCTTCAATTCATCTCATTGAGGGTTTTCCCTTTTTGCTAACCCTCTACTTTACTGAGAATGATAAAATTCTTCAGGGACTGGTATCATAAACAAAATCTCACTATCCCTGCTTCTAAGGAGCATTCTGGCTGTACTTGTCCAAGACAGATTTGTTTGTTCTGGCAGTCCATGGCTTGTAGACAGGCTGAGACCAGCCCATTTGTTCCATGTCTGAGGAAGATGAGTCCTGGCTCTCCTGCCTTGTGATTCAATAAAAGCTTTTAGGAAATCAAAAACTCCTGGCAGAGTATTTAAGATAACACTTTAGTGGCATGCAGATGAAGTCATAAGTAAAATCTAAAAATCCAGATTTCCTTTTAAGCAGTTTAAATGGAATTGTAATAGTTCTTACTGGGAGACTGAGCCTAACAGCAGACCATATTAACCACCCTTTGGCTTTTGCAAGAGTAATGGCGTAGTGCCTAGGGCATTTGACTGCTAACAAGAAGGCTGGAGGTTCAAACCCACCAGCCACTCCTTGGAAGGATGGTTGGGCAATCTACTTCCGCAGTGATACCGCCTCGGAAACCCAAGGAGGGGTCGCTATGAGTCGGATCCAACTCCACGGTAGTGGTTGCATCGTGTAAAAACAATAAAAATATTGATGACAAGACAGTTTATTGAGTTAATTGCCGTCTGGAGCATTTTTCTATATTATAAGGTTGTAGTTTGTTGGGATTCAGTAATTCCACTTTAAAACACTCAACCACCTGAAATTAAAAAGATTCCTGAAGACAATCTGAAAGTACTAAAATAGTTTAGACCTTTGCCTGAGTGGTAAACCGCATTCCTTGAGGACCTAATTGCATTGTCTCCAGCCATGTGGCTTCTTCAGGAAAAGATTCAGAGTACAACAGCTACAGCTTCAGTTAAGGCATTTCCTCTGTGCTCTGAATTACAGGCCACTAGCCTTCTGGTCAGAAGTTCAGGGCGTTGCCTGCTTTCCTCTCATGGCTAAAAATGAGCAGGCAATTCTTTAATCAGTAGCCCAGAATTTTAACATTTCAGGCATGTGTCAAAGCATGCATCCATAAATTGCCAGTGACCTACGACTTTCCCTAACTTGCTTGAGGCATAATATTTGAGAGCTATTGTCCAGAGGTAGAAGAAAGACAGGGCGATTTACTTCCATAAATATTTATAGCCTCAGAAACCCAATGGGTGTCACTATTAGTCGGAAACGAGTCAGTGGCAGTTAGTTTTATTATATTATTATTATCCAGAGATCAAGTTAAATATAAGTATTCCTTGTTTCTGTAAGATTTATCCTTGTATGGTTAGATCATCAAAAACCAACACACTTGGACTGTATTGTCTTAGTTCACTGGAGAAATTAATGAATAAAGATTCAACATTATGACCTTTCTTCTTATGGAAGGCAAGCATGATAAATGTACATGTGTGGTATTTCTAGGCTTTGAGTCAACTGTGGTTTTAGACATTGGCTATTATGTTATTCAGTGTCCTTTCTGAGAAGATCCATGTGGTGAATTTCATGTAGGGATTCAGTGCCCATAAGTCAGAAAATAGTTGCCTCTTCATATGAAGCTCTGTATTTCTTTTTTATCAGAACATGAAAAATATATGACTCAACATGAGGCTCTTTCACTTTCATTGTCAGGGAGATCAGTGGCAGACACTGTCAAAAGGGGTGACAGCAAAATGACCCCAGGATCCCTGGCAGCTGCAGTGGGCAGACTAGCTGGAGTGGTAGTGGGTGGGCCTGTGCTGGCGGCAGCGGGCCAGTGCTGCAGAGGAAGTGGGGGGGGGACCACCAAGGTAGTGGCGTCACTAGTGTTGGTGTTACCCATCACCCACTGCAAGGGGTGGGGGTGTGCCTGTCATCTGCAAGTCAGGTGCAAGCCAAGACGCCTAATACTAGGGGGAGAAGAGCATCTCTACCTTAGCCAATGGAAGAGGGGAGGAACTGCAGGGATCCATGGAGGGCAGGTCGACATGAAGCAGCTCTGGGCCTGTGGAGTGTGTGTGTGGAGGGCTGGTGGCTCTGCACTCTAGCAGTATTCACCCATGGCCTACCCACAGGGTAAGGAGCGTGTGACCCCACTAGTCACCACACTGGTCATTACCAACCCTAGTGAGCTCGGGGAGGGAGATAGTGATGATTATTTCTCTGTTCCTTTCCTATTTAATTTTTTCAAATACACACACACACATCCATCTGTTGTTAGATGCCTTTGAGTCGATTCCTACTCATAGTGACTATATAAGAAAGAAAAGAACTACATCATGGGTTTCCTAAGCTGTAAACTTTGTGGAAGCCGATTGCCAAGTCTTTACTTCTATGGAGCCACTGATGGGTTCAAACAGCTGAAAGCTTAGCCATTGCACCACCAGGGCTCCATGTACATACTTAATATATGTGGTTGTTATGTTTGTGTGTCAACTTGGCTGGGCCAGGTTGAGTGGCTGGGCAGCTGGTGGTAGTTATTCCCCATGATGAGATTAGCAATCAACTCCATGGTGGGATCTACCACAAGCAGCTGAGTAGCTGCCTTTGGGATGTGGTCTGCTTCCTGTATATAAGGAAGCCTTGGGGATAGTCTCCAGCTTATGGCATGCTTGGACCCTGCATGTAGCCATGTCATCGTTCAGCAACCTGTCATGCACTGCCAACCTGGGGACTTACAATGGACTTGAATTAATGGCCTGCCATGTGGTTTGGTAACATCGGGACTGTGCCTTTTTACTTGTCAACCTTGGTCTTGGCAACCTTAGCAGCCAGCAGCTGTCTGAGTGAAGAAAAGCCTCTAGCTTCAGTGGGCTGGGAGCAAGAGGCAAAGCTGAAGCCCAAGGCTGAGGGGCTTTCACCCAGCCCTAGAGCCTGGCACTTTGAACTTGGACTTAAAGTCTCCAGACTGTAAGAGAATAAACTCCTGTTTGTTAAGGCCATCCCACTTGTGGTATATTCCTGTCAGAGAAGCACTAGGGAGCCAGAACAGTATATCATAGTCACCTAGTGGTGCTGTGACAGAAATACTACAAGTAGGTGGCACTAATGAACACAAATTTATTTTTCCCAATTTGTTGTTGTTATGTGCCGTCGAGTTGGACCCAACTCATAGCGACCCCTCCTTGGGTTTCCGAGGCAGTATCACTATGGAAGTAGATTGCCCCATCTTCCTTCCGAGGAGTGACTGGTGGGTTTGAACTGCCAGCCTTCTGGTTAGCAGTCAAGTGCCTTAGCCACTATGCTACCAGAGCTCCCTTTCCCAATTTAGGAGGATAGAAGTCTGAATGCAGGATACTGGCTTTAGAGGAGGGCTCTCTCTGCTCTGCAGAAAGGCCTTGTCTCTTTTCAGCTTCTGTTCCCTGACTCTTTGGTAATCTGCATGTGGCACGGCATCTGTCTTCCCTTATCTCTTCTTGTTTCTCTGAATCCTACACTGTTATAGCCTCTTAACAAAGCAAACAAAACTCATTCCCAGATGGAATTATGACCCCAGGTATACCAAAAAAACAAACCAAACTGACTGCCATCAAGTCCATTTGGACTCTCGATGACCCAGTAAATCTCTACAGAAGTAGATTGCCCCATCTTCCTCCCACGGAGTGGCTGGTGGGTTGGAGCTGCCAACCTTCTGGTTAGCAGTCAATGCCTTAAGCACCACACCACTAGAGCTCCCTGACCACAGGTATAGGGGTTAGGATTTACAACACACATTATTTGAAGACACAATTCAAGCCATGTATATATATATATTGTTGTTGTTGTTGTCGTTATGTGCCTCTGAGTTGGACCTTTGGACCTGACTCATAGTGACCCCTCCTTGGGTTTCTGAGGTGGTATCACTATGGTAGTAGATTGCCCAACCTTCCTTCTGAGCAGTGGCTGGTGCATTTGAACCCCCAGCCTTCTGGTGAGTAGTCAAGTGTCTTAGGCACTACGCTACCAGAGCTTCTGAATATATATATATATATAGGACTCTGTGGTGTACTGGTTAAGGCATTTGGCTAATAACCAAAAAGTTGGTGGTTTGAGTCCACCAGCAACTCTGCAAAAGAAAGATGAGATGGTCTGCTTCTTCGAAGATTTATAGCCTTTGAAACCCAGTGGGGTTGCTATGAGTCAGAATCAACTTGATGTAAGTGAGTTTGGCATATATATATATATAGTGTTGTTGTTGTTGTTGTTATGTGCCGTCGAGTCGGCCCCGACTCATAGCGACCCCCCTCCTTGGGTTTCCGAGGCAGTATCACTACGGAATTATATATATAGATATCTATCTATCTATCTATCTATCTATATACATCTCCTTGTCTGTGTCATTCCCAGATTTTATGTTCTAAACAACAACAACAAGAAAAAACTCACTGCCATTCAGTCGGTTCTGACTCAGCAACCCCTCCTTGGGTTTCCAAGGAGGTATCTTTATGGAAGTAGATTGTCCAGTCTTCCTACAGAAGAGTGGTTGGTGGTTTGAACCATCAGCCTTCTGGTTAGCAGTCAAATACCTTAGGCACTATGCAACCAGATCTCCTTATATCATAGAGGACATGAAAGTGTTATATTTAAATCCAGATTGGTCTGATAAATCATATTCCAATGAGGTCTATTTCACTTTTCTTTTTACCTTACAGCATATCATCAGACTCAAGAGTAGTTGAATTTTTTTACCTTTGGTTGATTAGTCCTTTGACTATACCCCTACCTTCCACCTTTCTCCTACTTACTTGTTTAAGCAAACGCTTCCCAAACGCATTTTCTAAAGGCAGCCGGGCTGACTTTCCCCATATCCCTTCTATCTGAGTTGAACACGTCTCTCTTATTCCTCACAGCTCCACTTGGCCTGGATCTGTGGAGAGTCCTCAGACCAGCAGATACAGATGGAAGGAGGCCAGTGCTGCTGTTGTGGAAGGTGACCTCCCTCTGGGTTCTATTTATTCATTCACTCATTTATTTAGTCTAAAAACCTTTGATCTCTTATATTTCTAAGAACTTGAGCTTTCACCTCTTGAACTTCCTTTCTTTCAGTACTCCATTAGGTCTCAAATCTTACAAAGGTTGTCCAGCCGAAAATAGTTGTAAAAGTCATTGTGCAGATGTCCGAATCTTGTATTACAGACCCTGACCTACCTCTTCCTTTGGTTTGGAAAATTAATAGTTAGGTGAGGACAAAGGGCAAGTGCAGGAGAGACCTCAATCTTCCTGGCAAAATCTGGCTGGCCTCCATGAAAAGACAATATGAGACTATTTAAGCATCCCCCATAAGTCTGAGAAAGGTACTGACTTGAAGTCAACTCACTGGTGTGTCCTCAAGGTCAGTGTCTGCTGAGGGCACAGCAACATATATTACAAAAGCAGAAGAACTCAATGGTCCTTTCTAAGGTAGAGGCCTGGAAATGAAGAACAAAGGAGAAGGGAAGTGGGTCATTCAGGGACAAGAGGAAGAGAGGAGAAGGGGATGAGAGAAGATCATAAAAATGACAGAACAAATTAAGAGGAAGACATAATAAACAAGTGAAGAAAAGGACAACTAGAGGAGGAAAAAAGCCAGGAAACAAGAGAGAGGCACAGCCAGAAGGAAATGGGGTGACTTGCTTAGTTAGTTTAGCTTAGACATTTCCCTAGTCTGATCTCATGACATTAGACATGTATTAGGAGTTGATACCAAGGTATCATTTCATAAACCCCCTCTTCCAGCAATTGAGAGATTTAATAGTGCAGTGCACATGCATGGAGGCTGATTTCCTGATTGTCATTTAAGTCCTAGAAATTTATATCACCCCTCCACCCCTAAAGACCACCAATGTTTTTCCTTTATTTTTGTCAATAACCTTTGTTTACTTTGGGTTCAGGAGGCAAGAAGAGCCCCAGTCTTGGGGAAAACACTTGGCTACAACATATGGTACTTTCCAGAAAACAGCACTAACCTCACAAAGACAACGAACACAACTAATCAGCAACTTGAACTGTATCTGGGAGACGAGACCTACTGGGTGACTGTAATTTCTTACAATTCTGTTGGGAAGTCACCAGAGGCTACCCTGAGGATTCCTGCTATTCATGAAAAGTGTAAGTAGAGCGTGAACATCTTACTTAAATGCCTGGCTCCATGCAATAGAGGAACAAGCAGTCCCTGTCCCTTCAAGGGTATCTGGTCTTATTGAATGTAAACTGGAGTTGAGACATAAAGAACTGAGATCTGTCAAATATGTCCTCGGTAGCTGCAGCCTCTCTTTTGAAATCTTGCCCTATGGATGGGTTTCGATCATATCTCCAGCCCTTGGCTCAATGCTCATCCTCTTGTTTTCTTCCCCCTTTCCTCTTCTATTTCCTCAACAAGTTAGGAAAAATTCTGATGTTTATACATTCTAATAAATTACCTCATTACACTTTTGAAGAAGTCACTTTTGACATTTTACTGTTCCCAGACAAACTCATATTTTACATCTTGTTTTGGAATAAAATACCATCTTTGCTTCTTATTTAAGGAATTCTAGGCAATGGGTTCCCCACCCCCTTCTTTATTTTTCTCTATAGAACTGATTACCATCCTTTATTCAGTAGATTTTCTCATTTCTTTTATTGTCTATCTTGCCTACAGTAGGATGTAAGTTCCATGAGGGCAGGAGTTTTTGTCTATTACGTTTATTAATGCCCAATGTCTAGAACAGGTATAGAGTAGTGGACATAGAGCAGGTACTCAATAACTGTTTGTTGTAACAAACCATAGTTATGGAATACACTCTCCAATTGACCACCTCTCTCTATTTGCTATATAAAAGCCTTGGTGGTACAGTAGTTTAGGACTCAGCTGATAACTGAAAGGTTGGTAGTTTGAACCCACCAGCTGCTCTGTGGGAGAAAGATGTGCCAGTCTGCTTCCTTAAAGATTTACTTTGGAAACCCTATAGGGCAATTCTATTCTGTCCTATTGGGTCGCTATGAGTCAGAATCAACTTGATGGTAATAGGCTTGGTTTTGGAGTCTGTATTTGCTTACACCTGGACTGTTTCAGGTATTTATACTACCAGCTCCCTTATTTCTTCACTTGTTAAACTTAACTCACTACTTCTCTTTACTAACTTTAGAATTCTTAGATATTTTGTTTTTAGCACCACTTGATATTATTATTTTTAATGCATTTTATTGAAATATAATTTATGTACAGTGAAATACACAAAACTAAAGTGACATGGGTCAATGCATTTTTTAAGTGCTCCCTCCCTTCCCTCCCACCCCTAGCAACCAACAAAGAAAATTTCCCTCCATATATCAACCTTTCTTTGACCATCCACAGCAACAAACTAATATTATATTTGTCCTTCTGTGACTGACTTATTTCATTCAGCATAATGTCCTCCAAGTTCTTCCATGTTATGTGGTGTATTATTCTTTAGTGCTGCATGGCATTCCATTATGTGTATGTACCATAGTTTAGTCATCCACTCTTCCGCTGATGGGCATGTAAGTTGTTTTCATCTTTTTGCTGTTGTAAATAGTGCTGCAATGAACATGAGTGTGCATATATCTGTTCCTGTCCTGGCTCTTACATCTCTAGGATATATACTTAGTAAGGGATTGCTGGGTCAGATGGTATCTCCAATTTCAGCTTTCTAAGGAATCACCATATTCCTTTCCACAGTGGTTGTATCACTTCACAGTCCCACCAGCAGTATATGAGAGTCCCAATCTCCCCACATCCCTGCCAGCATTTGTTATTTTCTGTTTCATTGAACCTTGCCATCAGTGCTGGGGCAAGGCAGTATCTCCTTGTTGTTTTGATTTGCATCTCTCTGATGGCCAATGATTGTGAGCATCTCTTCATGTATTAGTTGTCCACCTGAATATCCTCCTTGGTGAAGTATCTATTCATGTCTTGTGCCCATTTTTCAATTAGATTGTTAATTCCTTTGGTGTTGAGGTATTGGAGTTTTCTATAAATCTTAGTGATAAGTCCCTTGCCAGATATGTAATTATCGGCAAATATGAATTTGTTGCTGTCATTTTTGTTATGTGCTTTTTCGTGGTGTCAATTTCTTTGTTCCATATAATTTTCTGTGCTGAGCTCATTTTGTTTATGAATCGTTATCATTTCCTTTGTTGCTTTTATTTTAATATTTGCTAAATATTTGTGCTGGTCCTCTTTTTAATTTTGATTTGAAGGTTTATCATTTTTCTTTGAGGTTACCCTGTGATTTATTGTTTTCTTCCCAAATTTAGAACAGTCCGTTCTATCTTGTAGTTGTCTTGACATACCTACCATCTAGAAGTTCTGTAATGACACAGATTGTTTTCGCTCTTTTTGGTTTGTAGTTGTCCTCATTTGTTGGTTGGTGTCTCTGGTTCTCTGTTTACAATCTTGTAGGCTTATTTACTTTGGATACTTCCATAGCTGGGTTGGTTTCTGGGTTATATATCATCATGTGTGTTAACGGTCAGTTGTTGGCTGTTGTTGATTCTTTGTCAAAAGGACTCCCTTTAGCATCTCTTGTAAGCTTTGTCTGGCCTTAACAAATTCCCTTAATTTCTGCTTATCTGGAAATGTCCTAATTTCACCATCGTATTTGAGAGATAGTTTTGCTGGGTACATAATTCTTGGCTGGAAATTTTTCTCTTTCAGGGTTTTATATATACCATCCCATTGTCTTCTCGTCTGCATGGCTTCTGCCGAGAAATCTGAGCTTAGTCTTATTGGTTGCTCCTGTAGGTAACTTTTCGTTTTTCCCATGCTCCTCTCATGATTCTTTCTTTGTTTTTGGTTTTGGTGAGTTTGATGATATGTCTTGG